TTGAAGTTGTTTCCATTCCTCCCAGACTGCATTGCACAGACTGTAAAATTTTGATTGTTGACTTTTTCTGTCCAAAATGTGATAGCATGATGCACCGTGTGGGAGTCATTCAGGTTCATGTGATTAAGGGTGATCTGTACTTGAACTTCTTTGTTCGGATAGAAGCGGTATGGTGGGAATACCACTATTTTGCAGCTTGAGTCTGACCATTTGGGAACTCGAAAGAGCTTAACCCGACCATGAATGATTGGAAAGCCTGTAAGATTGGAAACGCTCAAGTTTTAAACCAGTAGTAACCAATTTTTTCCTGTTATATCTCATGCAAGTTTCCGGAGGTTTCAATGTATTTGAAAATCCTAACTTTTTTGTGTGTGAGATACAATGAATATATGAAGCCAAAATATATGAACTTCATATATTCATATATTCAGTTCAAAAGATATGAACTTTATATATTCATTGTATCTCATTTATCACTTTCACGGGTTTATTACGAATCAACTTAACGGCCTGCTCCCAGTTGGCTTGTTAGCTCAATTGGTAGAGCGCTGCACTAGTATCGCAGAGGTCAGTGGTTCGAGTCCCGTACAGGCCTGATTTTTTTCAGGTCTGATTTTCGCTATTGCATAAATAGCGCTATCTACTGCGAGGATCGTGCATCATACGTATCTAATACCGCAGTTCAAAATATATGAACTTCATATATTCATTGTATCTCATTTATCACTTTCACGGGTTTATTACGAATCAACTTAACGGCCTGCTCCCAGTTGGCTTGTTAGCTCAATTGGTAGAGCGCTGCACTAGTATCGCAGAGGTCAGTGGTTCGAGTCCCGTACAGGCCTGATTTTTTTCAGGTCTGATTTTCGCTATTGCATAAATAGCGCTATCTACTGCGAGGATCGTGCATCATACGTATCTAATACCGCAGTTCAAAATATATGAACTTCATATATTCATTGTATCTCATTTATCACTTTCACGGGTTTATTACGAATCAACTTAACGGCCTGCTCCCAGTTGGCTTGTTAGCTCAATTGGTAGAGCGCTGCACTAGTATCGCAGAGGTCAGTGGTTCGAGTCCCGTACAGGCCTGATATTTTTCAGGTCTGATTTTCGCTATTGCATAAATAGCGCTATCTACTGCGAGGATCGAGCATCATACGTATTTTGTGTGTCTTGTAAATGAAAGACGAAGTTCCTTCTCATAGTAATAAGGCCTTACCCTCACAGCTGCCAGGATGATACAAGGTATTATTGTCCAGTCCCTTGCAGAAGCTCAATTTGTACAGGCATTCATTGTCATATGTCGTTCCATTTTCCGTGCAGACTGGATCTTGATACGACGGGCAGTTGTCGTTACACACACAGCGAGCTTCATGGGCACTGTAGGTTTTGCAGACTCCGAATGATGGGCAGAACACATTTAGACAGGGATTGAGGTCTGTGAATATGAAGCAAAATGATATTTAACTCAAAATTAAAGAAAGATACGGAAGCAATGATATCAAATAATTGCACTGATACATTCAAGTTGAACCCAAACCTCCAATAACGACGTAGCTAACAGACAGATGGTCGTGTTTGCTTCCTGTTCCACTCAAGTCTTTGACACAAATCCTCATGGATGTGAGGCTAACTTCCTACACAGAGACCAGAGAGCACAAGTTCAAACATCAGCAGAATAACAATCATAAAATCAGAGCGATCATTTACCTCAATCCAGGCTGATATGATGTTATTTTTGGGTAAGACAAGGCTTTTCATGCTGACTTGATGGTTGTACAAATGATGCACAGACACAAGGACAACAGGTGAGGCATAAAAGGTTGTGTTGAACTGCACCTCCTGTAAAAATTAAAGAGAGAACAAATTTATAGGAGAGAAAATCTGTATGGTACTATGTAGCTCAGCTCTGTTTTGAAAACGAACGTTTTTTTTTTACCTTGAAATAGCTCCTCAAACTTCATAGTAAACGAGACTAGATTTCACTCACTTGACAAAAACCATAATTGTCTTCAGCCGTTGGCGGGTTACTATTTGGAAAATCTGCTTCTCCTGACAGCGTAAAATTAAATTCAGAGCCATTGCCAACAAATGCAAACCAGTCCTGGAATAAATGAATGCAAAGCATGAGTTGCCGTCAAACAAAGTATAAGGTTATCAGACTAGAAAAAACAAAACAAAAAAGAAAACAGCTAAGTTGGCTTACACACTCACCCATAAAAACTACAGTAGATGTATCTCTTACCACAATGGTGTCTCGATGTTTTCCATCGAAGGGCAGGAACTCCCGGATGCACACCTCGAAACTTCTGGAATTTACATTTTCCAACCAAACATACATAGCGTCCTTTGGCTTTGTGTCACGTGTGTACCTAGCTGACACAAACATGGATGGTCCTCCAAGAAAACTCTGCAATGTTTTTGGATCATATATGAATTTATGTCTATGGAGTAAATTCACCTTAGATCCAATAAAAATCATTCAGCTAGACAACATATCATGGCCACAAGGTAAAGGTTTATATGTTGGATATCTTGTCTTTCATTGGCTGAGAGCGAAAAGCTCGAAATCTTTCCTAAATCTTCCTTTCTTTACCTTGCAAGGTCTGGACTTTACAACCCACTACCGAAATTTCTGAGCATTGAGTGGCCTGTTTAAATGAGCATGGATATGTGTTCCACATGAAGTAGGCGGGATTCACTTTGCAAGTTGGTCTAAAGTCTTTCTCATTAGGGTATTAGACGCTCAGAGGGGTTTGACCTTAGAGTTCTATTTAGTTATTTCGTTATTTCTTCTTACCTTCGAGAAGGTAACTTTGTCACACTTAGTTTCTGTTGTCCATATTCCATTAAAATAAACACTACCACGCGTCATTTGTGGATGATCTTGGAAAGCCAACCAGTTGACGATTCCTGTACCATTTGATCCAATGCCTGACTCACGAGCACACACTTCAAAGTCACGTGTAGTAACCGACTTAACCCACATAGCTGACGGTGAATGGACGCGTGAGAACGCTTCACCATGGCTGACCGTCACGTGAACGTTAACCTGCAATTTTGAAGCCAGGGCGCGCAAGGCATTATCAGTTACTTGATGATAATGAGATTAACCTGTACACGTATTTCAAACAAAATAACTCAACCCTCTCAAATAGTCCACGTATCGTGCTGCTCTCTGGAGCGTACGTGCCAGAGGTGTCTCGCCTTTTCAGATTCCAAAGCTTCAAAGTTCATTGTCTCTAATTTGTCTTTCGATGCCCGTTCTTAATCTCTGAAATTTTAATTTACGGTGCCAAATAGAGTGTTAATTACGACGGAATATCTTACGTCAAAACACAAACTGAAGTTATTAGGATACTATGAATGCTATCCAGGGAAATGTGGTCACAGTTGGCGCTGTGGCAACCGAGTTAGGAGAAGATCAGCTGATTACGCTGACCTCTTAAAGCGAGACACGAGCTGGTGAGCTCAGGTAAAACAAGAAACGTATTTCATGTGGGGAGAAGTAAAGTGGAATAGATTTAGTCGACAAAGTTACGGGATGAACAAAATCGAGTCCACCTAGAGATTGATCAAAAAATGACATCGATCGAGTGGAAAGACGCTAATATTCCCAGAGTGTTGCTCGACCGAAGATCTTTCATTACTTCATTGCGGTGTTGGATGGTGCCTTGAAGTGTTCCGGATCACCGACTAGTACAGTACTTACCGTCCCCGATCCAGTGAATGTCTTGGGGAATACAACGTTTGTGCAACGAGGCAGTCGGCAGTGTTGAGAAGGTGAACACGCACTGCTGCAGCTCCAACCCTGCAGAGTCTGAGAAATGTTGAGCCTGCCAGTTTGGAGAGTGTTACCTACAGGTAAGGAGATGTGTCTTTATCAAAAGAACCAGTTGGCATTGTAACGTACGTGACTTAGAAGTTCAGACAGAAAAGACAACGCATATTAAAGTTACTGATTTGACGAACATGTAAGGGTACGTCTCCATCCCTTAACTCTTTGATCTTAGAGCAATTTTCAATTGCGTTATGTCGATTATCCAGAATAGTTCTAGTTTTTTAGTTAACTTTGTATGCGCGGCACCCTATCAAAAAATTAGATGCAAAACTGAAATCAATCTCGATTTGGTTGCTCTTATTTTCACCGCTTTCAAGGGTCACTGTTTTTACTTTGCGTCATTACTGGCTTAGTTGATGTCAGCTTTCGTTTTGCCTGACCATTATCAACTTGTTTTTTGTTTTTCGACACTTCGAAAACTATTCCATTTGGCCATATAGTTTTCAGTGTCTCGCAGTTGCATGATTGTGTCCCTTAATACAAAGATAAATATTTTCCTATAGAAGCTTATCCAACAGATAATGCAGATCAATTCCAGGCGACGGAAAGTTGAGAGACCCTGGGAACGAGGTTGAAGACTTTGCGGAGGCCTTCTCTGGGGCCTTAAGTCGCCGTAACTTAACTCGCAGGACCAATACTCATGGTCTTAAAATAAGTGAGGAGAATTTGCTACCTTTCTATAATATCAAGAAATGGATAGATATTCTAGTCTTCTCGGATAAGGACGAATAAACCGTAGGCCCCGTCTCCTGCAGGGTTAGGGGTAGGAGACGTTAATTTCCCACGCACGAGATTACTGTGTGGTGGATGTCCTCCCCTGGGGTGGGATGGGAGGGAAGGTGAGATCGTTACATGGACTGAAGCGGCTGCCAGAGGCGCCTGATAATGCTGACGTCCGATCTCAACCTTATCATTGTAACTAGACACGTNGCATTCCGTTAGCTTTTAGCAAAAACATTTCGAAGTAGGTTTTGTGAAGAAGAAATCTCACGTAAAAATCAAGAGTTTAAATTAATTCTAAACATTCCTTTCAAAAGAAAAGAAATTTTCTATATGGTAAATGAAGCATTCCGTTAGCTTTTGGCAAAAACATTTCGAAGAAGGTTTTGTGAAGAAGAAATCTCACGTAAAAATCAAGAGTTTAAATTAATTCTAAACATTCATTTCAAAAGAAAAGAAATTTACTACATGGTAAATGAGGCATTCCGTTAGCTATTAGCAAAAATATTTCGAAGCAAGTTTTGTGATTTAAGAAGTAATCCCTCCTAAAATCTCCAAGAGGGTCGCGCTGGGGTTAAGCGTCATGCAACCGTCAAATGGCCAAAATGTTAACCGATAACCGTCAAAAACGCATAATTTTTACCGCTAACCGTCAAATAAGCGAGCCAATGTTAGCCGTCAAATGTCTAATATATCCTAGCTAAAAACTTGCCTTAACTGGGGTAAGGTTCTGTTCTTTATGAATAAAAGTTTTGATATATCACAAAAATACATTAATGAAGGTACTTTCACTTCTAGTTGCGAGTAAAACTGGTTAGCGACAGAACTGACTTCCGGTGTGGAAACACTTCTGGTGTCGTAAAACTTTAGTCATCTATTAATAAAAGGTTTTATTGATTAACAGTTCTTTACAAACGCGTCATTAAATAAACTTACAGCCAAATTCTTACATTTAGTTCCTTTTATAAACGACTTTCCCCCTCTAACCCTAAAAAAAACAATTTTGTTTTTGAATATCATATTTGAATATAAATGTTGATACATGGGCTTTCCTAAAGTTTATGATTTAGGGATCCTGCCCGAAACAACAATTAAACAGTCGGTCTTCAGAGCAAAGAAAATTAAAACTTTGAGGAAGTTTGATGACCAGAATGGTGACCGTAACATACTGTACAGGAACTATGTTTTTTTTCTCTCAAATTGCTCTGACGTATTTGTTAATGAAACTTGTATAAATACAAAGCCATAACAGTCCGAAAGATGAAATTATCTTCATTGGTGGCTTATATTAAAATCGACAAAGTTTGACAACACCACACGTGTGGTGTAGGTCCAAAAGATTTTACTTCACTATCTGCTTCCTTCCCTCTCAAATTTGTGAATGAAATAACAAAAAAATATATTTCAAGAAACTAGACTATACGACAATGAGATCGGCAGTCAAGTCTTTCTTAACAGCCTTAAAAGAGGACTGCAAAAGAAGGTGGCAACTTAAACTCAAACTAAATATATTTCAAGTCGTAGTTTGTAGGAGAATTCCTGTCATAATTTTCCTTTAATCTTAATTTTGTCCAAATGCAGAGGTTTTTACTCGCTACTTTATCGTGTTGGGAGGATTAATGCAGTCTTACCTTTCACAGCTAATAAAAAATTTCCAGAGATGAAAACAATCAGCATCAGCATAGTTGAACAATTTATCGTCGCAGACCAAATGGCTGTGATTTGCACCAGTGATCTGTGATCTATGATTCAGTAAAGTGAGTTCTTGCATTTATACATAGATCATAGTTTTTGTTGGCCAAAATAGCTTCCTACATAAGCAAAGTATCGTGTGTAAGACAAGGAAGTACTCTTAAGCTTCATACTTCCCAAACGACGCCATTTCACCGACGCACGTTTTCCACCCCTGGGTGTTTGATTTTGACCCAGAGGGCATTAACATCACGTAGCGGCATGATACACATACCGCATGATTCACAGAGTGCTAAAGTTTTTAGATTACTCAGCCATTTGTTTTATTTAGTTGGGAAAACCTCTCGAAAGTTATTCACACCCAAAAGCGAGATCCCCTTTGTAAAAAATGTTACAAATAAATAACATCATTTGATAGCAAAGCATATCTTGAACCACTTGATGAAATGTCTTTGTTACAAGATGCAGAATCTCGAAGAGGGAACGTGCCTGAATTTGACGGCAGATACCTCTGAACGTAAAAGCATACAGGTACTCAACAGCTGAACAATATCGTCTCACTCTGTTTTGAGACTGAATTTTCTTCCTTATCGTGCTAAAGTATCATGTGCCTCAGTGGAAAATAAGATAAAAAGGAGGAAAGAGGTATTAATTCAATGCCTGTATGAAGCTTTTACGGTTTTATTCTTTTTTGCTTTGCAATAAGAAGTTAAAAAGTAGCTGGCAGGTGACTTACACGTTTAGTTGAAATGACAAAAGGCTTATGTTGAATGTAACTAATTACACTGGTCGCCTTTGATTATGGTTTTGCAATAGTCATTTCAAAACAACAGTTTAAAATGTGCGTGTCCAAGCTATGAAGATAATTAAGAACAGAAATGACTAGCATGTATTACAACTTTGCAAAAATGTATTTTGACCCAGAGGGCAGTAAGATCACGTAGCTTCCTACTAAAGCATAGTATCATGTCTA